TTTTTTGGTTTCTCCTTTTTGAACCGTTCTTCTATTTTTTTTTTGGAGAATAATTGGAAAAATTCGGGCCGAGCAAGTTTCGGTGATTTTTCTGATACGAAATTCTGGCCGTCTGTATTTGGCCGCGTCAATCATGAGGATGCATGTCGTGCACCTGGCCGCGTTCGTCACTCGAATGCAGACCGCTGTGCGTTTTTTTTTTTTTTTTTTTTTAATTTTATAACAAGGAAACTCTGCTCATTCTTATTACCACACAAAAAGGTTTGTGCTTTTTTCAGAGATTATCAGACTTGTTCCGATTTTTTTTTTTTTTAATCTTTGCCCTATATATTGCCCTATACCTTTCTCTTCTTCTCAACGAAGAGCTTGTGCTCCACGGCGAACCCTGTTTTCCGCTACTGTCGTGTTAAGGAAAAAAAAAAAAAGCCTTGAAGTTGACTATACCCACCGCCTTGCTTTTTTCACAGAAGAGTCACGTGTCTATCAACAGAAGAGCGGAATGGATTCGACAGTGACTAATCACATTGATTCCACGTGTCTATCACCAGTTGGTTCCAGTTGGTGGATGCAAAGATGGCCCGAGCGGTTACTTCGTTGGTAGCACGCACTCATGCACAGACACAGAGAGAGAGAGAGAGAGAGAACAATGTACAGGCTATTGACATACTCAGCGTCAAGGGGTTGAGCAGCCCCCGAACACAAGTGGCCCATCACCATAAGCGTTGGCAGAGCATGTTCCGGTCCGAATACAGTCTGAATACGGTCCGAATACAGTCTGATGCTGGGGCATGGTTTTCGGGAGGAGAAGGTAGTCGTAGTTCAACGGCTGTCATCATCATTTGGGTGCTGATATGGATGTGGTCATTGAGCGGCGGCGGTGGTAATGTGGATGTTGATTGACCGGCTGCCGGCTGTGAAGGTCGTCCTGCCATGCTGATGATGATGAGATGGCGCCAGATAATCGATGACGATGCCGCTGATGATGAGATGGCGCCAAACAATCGATGAGGATAAGATCTCTGACTTGGAAAGAATACGGATGAGCATAAGGATGATGATGATAACGATGATGATGTGGATGATAGTGACGATGATGATGATGATGATAATGACGATGATGATGATGATGATGATAGTGACAATAGTGACGATGATGATGATGATGATGATGATGATGATGATGATTATGATTATGATGATGATGATGATAGTGACGATGATGATGAAGGTCGTGAGGACAATGGTGAGGATGAAGGTAACGAAGAAGGTGATGCGGGTAAGGATGCTGAAGATGATGAGGGGTAAGATGGCGATTGATAATAATGATCCCGATGATGATGAGGATGAGGAGGAGGAGGAGGAGGAGGAGGAGGATAAAGGGGGATGATTACCAGTGAAGTTCTCATTACGATCTGAAGAGGGCCTGATGATTCTGACGATAATGACAAAGATGAGCGTGGAGTAGGAGGAGGATGAACAAGAAGGATGGAGGAGTACGAGGAGGATGATCAAGAAGGATGGAAGAGGAGGAGGAGGATGAACAAGAAGGATGGAGATGGTAACGAGCCAACAGTAGTGGCGGCGTGATGTAGGGGTGGAGCAGGACCAGGAGGAGGAGGAGGAGGAGGAGGAGAAGGAGGAGGAAGAGGAGGAGGAGGAGGAGGAGGAGGAGGAGGACTAGGAGGAGAACGATGTGGCTGATTGGAATGATGGTGAGAGTTCAGGTTGTCCCGAGAGGTACGGGGAAGGCGGCTTCTAATCCCCGCGGACGTCCCCGGCCCTATCTCCTCCATGATGGGAGCTTGACCTCCCCCTGTCGTCTTCACCCACATAGAATGCCTGGTCATTATATCTGAATGTAGGGCAATTTAAGACTAGATACAGGCATAATTAGGGGGCGATCAATTCCGATATTGAAAGAAACTGCCCAAGGAAATAAAAAAGTAACTTGTCAATACTGGGTCAAAAGTTCCACTGCAACGGTTGCCCGTTCACCCGTCCAGTCTACTAAAGTGCCCACCAAACCGTGCAAGATGTCATACATCACACGGCTTTCCAACTTGAGTAATGAATAACCTCATCCATGATGGATGACTCCAATCAGGAAGTTTTGGCCTGTGTGAATCTCTCCCCTGCCTTTTTGTATTTCACAGTTTGGTGTTTCTCTACCTCTACCCTCCCCTGCCATGCGTGGCACTTCATCTTCTGACAGACTAACCTCCGAGTCGTTCTCGTACCCCCTTAATCCCCCTTTCTTTTTCAAGAAAAGGAGGCAATAAAAAAAAGAAAGGGGGGGGGCCAATGGCCTGTTTGACCTGAGTGACCTCAGGTAATTCAGAGCGTATTCATGGGATCTGGCCAGGATCCGAACTCAGGAGGTATGTTTATGGACAATTCATGGGTGTGTACCATTTGGACACGAAGGGCCTCGCTCCACTACTCTTGAAATGCACAAAAGACAAAAATCATGGTGGTGTATCTTTCCATGTTCTAGCGGAAAATTCACTCTCGTTTTGCACCTTTCGAGAGTAGTGGAGCGAGGCCCGAAGCCTACAGAATGCTGCACTGAAAGGATATCTCCACCAAGACGAGCTGTTGCAGACCAAATTCTGCAGCAGCTAAGCACCCTTGCTGTGGATTCCATCGTCGTCTGCCCATAGAGAGAGAGGGATTACACACTATGGAAACTCGTGAATCCTGCTCAATGCAATGCCCTCAATGCAATGCCTCTCTATGATGCGCCGCCTGAGATCCGTCTGGCATGCGGTTCACATGCCTTAAGCCGAGAGGATTGTGAAGGGATAGTCCATGCGAGCTTTTGTCGTCATACGTATGATGACAGTCAGTGTTGCACTCATGTATGGCAGACACGTCACATGTCATGTCCAACTTGTAGATAGGGTCTGGAACGACAACGTCTTTACAATTGCGGTCGGCGTGCCTCTGTGTTCCTAGCATGTAGGACCCATGTAGCCTGTGACATCTGTCTACGCCGAGCCATCGATGCAGCAACTGCGACTGCCAGAACTGGATGCGGTGCTTCCACAGTCCACATCCGAA